GGAAGAAATAATCATCGTCAGAATCATCATGTTTCTCCTATTCATCAACAGAATCAGCAAGTCCCTAATCAGAGGAAAACCCAGTTTGATCCAATTCCAATTACCTATATAGAGTTGTTCCCTATCCTGATGCAGAGGAGTTTGGTTCAGACCCGACCTCCACCGAAGGTTCCTGAGAAGATACATTGGTACTACAAAGCTGATTTGGCTTGTACCTTTCCTCAAGGTGCTCCTGGGCATGACTTAGAGGGTTACTTTGCTTTGAAGATTGAAGTTCAGAAGTTGGTCAGAAGTGGTATCTTGTCATTCAAGGACGTTGGTTTTGAAGTTCAAATCAAGCACGTGCCGAAGAGTAAACACGATTGATGTTCACTTTGAGTTTTGAAGGATGTTTTCGGTGATTCAAGTCCAGATGGAAAGCCTTCCCAGATTATTCACTTATTTTTTCTCTTTGTAATTTTTCTTGTTTATCAAAACATTGTTTGCATGTAAGAACTTGTTTGCATCTGAATGATTATCTTAATACAATGGGTATGTTTGTCTTGAAGAAATTCATTCGTTTCACTCATATTTGTTTTCAATTTTAAACTTCTTTTGGCATTATGATACCAACTTGTTGCCCATTCTCTTGCCTAGGCAGAGATTGAAGGGAGGATGATGATCTAAAGAACACAAAATCTCTGGTTGTTTGCTTTTGGATAAAATCTTGCTGATGATGTACAGGCATTGTTTCAAATCCCTAAACACCGGAGATATAAGGAAGATAATCCCTTGCTAACCCCTTTTGAGCCTTTGAAGCAGAAGTTTCTTTTTTTATACGAAAAAACCTTGAATTTTAACCTGGGGCAGGGTAGTTTTTAGTTAATCTGACTGAGTGTTCAAAATTCATAAGGAAGATGTTTTTTGAAGAGAAACTACGAGGGCTATTCTTCATGTATAATGAATCTAGAGGATGTGGAACCACAATGTTATCCCTCATTCATCAAGAAACGAGGCAATCACAATCCTCTCAACAAGCAAAGACAAGCTAATGTCACACATTTTGTTCAAAAAATCAAAAAAATCGAGAAAAAGAAAAAGCCTGCTAAGTCAAAAAACATGAAAACGTGTGACTTAGGCAAAAACTAAGGCATCCCGCTGGACTATCAATTCAAAAAAAATTAGTTCAGGCAAAAATTAGGGAAAATAAAAATCGCAAAGAAAGGACTACAAAGAGAAGTCCTCAGCAAAGAACAAATTGGTGACTACAAACACGAAGACATGAGGGTGGTTTCTACTCCGAAAGCCTCGTCGTTTCCTTGACCGTCACAAAATCCTTTTGAGAGATGAACACTCATGTTGAATTAACTGAACATAGGGTTGGAGAACATCATGAAGAAGGGGTGGGCACCAAATATTTTGAGCCTTAAAATCTTTTTTCTAAAAAACCCATGAACCAGACCACGTTACAACCTTCAAAAGTCCTAATTGAAGCAAGGTTATTTTGAAAGCATACTTCAATGAGATAGTGTTCCTGACTCCTATGAATGTTCTAAATAGTTATGTTGGTATCATATGTTTCTCCTATACAAAAATAAATGATGCTCTAACTCGCAAATTTGTGCGATATCTTTTCAAAATCTTCAAGACTTACATAACTGTTGCATTAGAATTTTCATTCTCATAATAAAGTTTTCTAACTGCAAAACATTTGTTTGATATCAAGGAAACTCACATATAAGCACCAATGATGAGTAAATTCTTAAGGCTTGAAACTATGTTGAGTAATTGGCGGATCACGTCAAGAAAAATCATATCCATGGGCATGTCACCTGAAGACCGTAAGCACGAACATGTTGCTTCTCCCAGTTAATGCTCTTCCCAACTTGTTTGCTCGTTTGGGGGAAAAATTCGAAGACTTTGTTGTGCCGACTACAGTCAATCCGGGGCAATCACGTAGAGATTGGATGAATCTCTCTAAGAGTTTGAAGACACCAGAGCATGGTGAATGCCAGGTCTTTTGTAAAATCCTCTTAAGACGATTTCTCCTCATCAACCATATAGCTTAGGGCATGTTAGAAGTGAATCTATTCGCAAGAATTGTCGTGCAACACGCAGCTTATCAGCAGTAAACCTGGGGCATCCAAAATTAGTCCCAGAGGCAATCCATATTTGTTAAGATATGTGATATGTTTTGCACACATTATCAGAGGGTGGTGTTCCCAGTATCTCCAGCTAAGCATGATTTTTTCCAGCTGAAACATTGTTTGTGTTGTTATCCTTTCAATGGATTGTTGACGATAGAAGACCAGACTTTGGGTCTTCTACCAAAAAATATCTTCCTCTTCATAGATATTTAAGCCTCGTAAAAGGACTTTACTCCAATGATGGTTTTTGTTTTCTATCTCCAGTAATGTTACTATCCTGTTGATATTAGCCGAGTGTCAAGTTGTACTGTGATGTCTTATCATTTTCTGTCTATCTCCCGTGTCTGTTTTGTCAGCATATACATGACATTCATTTATTCATTCACACTTGCATCATGCATGCATAGTTGTATTTATTGATGTCTTTGAGTACGTATACCTTGGTTATGTCTATTCAAATAGCGTATTTGATCTTTCCAAATAGAGTGTCAACTTAAGCAGAAAGTGCGCCTCTTTTCTAATTCCCCACTGAGTTAACTCTCGTGGAAGAATCTTGCTTTAGCTTTCCTTTTCCATCTCTGGATAGGATAAATCCCCATTTGAGTTGTTTCCTCATTGGGTGGAGTCTTGTTTGACTATTTTTTCTCTCCAGTTTATTCCTGGATTGAGCTTTGTCTCTCGTGAACGATACCCTGTGGATCTCTCTAGGCTGTGAAACCTAGATGGAGAGTGCATTTATTTTGCGACGTAAATGCTTGGTCTCCTCAAGAAGGATTTATTCATGGTTCCCCATTGAAGATGAACTTTATTCCCCAACAGTGTTATCACAACCTTCTTCTGGAATATCGACATGACAACAAGCGACTGACTCTTTATTTGAGCAGTTTGATTATTTCTGATTTCTCTACGACAAATGGCGGTCTCTTCATGAGCAGTTTGTCCATCCTCGATGAAATTATTGATTCTCACCTCCGGTAATATCTTCATGATATTTTATGGGTATCTTTGAGAAAACAGCAAGCGGCAGTCTCTTCATGGACAACTTGTATGTTATCAACACTTTCAAAAACAGCAAGCGGCAGTCTCTTCATGGACAACTTGTATGTTATCAACACTTTCAAAAACAGCAAGCGGCAGTCTCTTCATGGACAACTTGTATGTTATCAACACTTTTAAAAACAGCAAGCGGCAGTCTCTTCATGGACAACTTGTATGTTATCAACACTTTTAAACAGCAAGCGGCTGTCTCTTCATGGACAACTTGTATGTTATCAACACTTTTTGAAAACGGCAAGTGACGGTCTCTTCATGAGCAGCTTGTACGGAAAATGGCAAGTGGCAGCTTCTTCATGAGCAGCTTGTACGTTAGTATTTTTGGAAGACAGCAAGTGGCAGCTTCTTTATGAGCAACTTGTGGATTTTTGGCAACAAGTGGCAGCTTCTTCATGAGCAGCTTGTGTGCTTTGATATTCTTTGAAGACAACAAGTGGCAGCTTCTTCATGAGCAGCTTGTGTGCTTTGATATTCTTTGAAGACAGCAAGTGGCAGCTTCTTTATGAGCAGCTTGTAGATTTTTGGCAACAAGTGGCGGTCTCTTCATGAGCAGCTTGTACGTTAGTTCTTTGAAGACAGTAAGTGGCAGCTTATCTATTTGAGCAACTTGTGTTATTGTTCCCTTGAAGACAACAAGTGGCAGCTTCTTCATGAGCAGCTTGTGGGTTATTGGCAACAAGTGGCAGACTCTTCATGAGCAGCTTGTGCGCTTTGATATTCTTTGAAAACGACAAGTGGCAGCTTCTTTATGAGCAGCTTGTGGGTTATTGGCAACAAGTGGCAGACTCTTCATGAGCAGCTTGTGTGCTTTGATATTCTTTGAAGACAGCAAGTGGCAGCTTCTTTATGAGCAGCTTGTGGGTTTTTGGCAACAAGTGGCGGACTCTTCATGAGCAGCTTGTGTGTTTTAATATTCTTTGAAGATAGCAAGTGGAAGTCTCTTCATGAGCAGCTTGTATGTTATTGACACCTTTGAAAGGAAGCAAGTGGCGGCCTCTTTATTTGAGCAGCTTGTGTATCCCCAACAATAATGTTTACTCAGCAATTGGCATCCTTTCGGAAAAGTCTCGTGGGGAAGTTTGTTATTTTATCCTTTTCAAGCGATATCTTGGTTAGAGAAGAAATGTGTTACCGTTCTTGGTAAAATTCAGAAATCAGAGATGTTTATCTCCAGCCTCAGTGCTGAGGTCAATCATTTTCCAGTCTCAGTACTGATGTCCATCATTTCCTTTTCCAGTCACAGTGCTGATGTAAATCATTTCTTTTTCCAGTCTTCGTACTAATGTAAATCATTTCTTTTCCAGTCTCAACACTGATGTAAATCATTCAAGAGTCTCTCATTTGAAGTCTATGACTTTGTTTCCCCAGTGGAGTTACAACCTCTTCCTCTGTGGGATTACTGTATAATATGCTTGGTTTCTCCAGCATAGTTTGTCTCATATGGCGTCATTCCCCATAAAATTCAAAACATCACATTCATATCATATCATAAACATAATTGCGGTATCTTAAGGCCAAAAATTGTGTATTCTATATTTAAGTCCCTTCAATCTCGTCGAAATGAAGATCCCAATCTTCATATCTCCAGATAGAAGAAACTTAAATATGGGCAGCTGTTGTACCCCAATTTTTGACCTAAGATCCCATTTTTATTTTTGCATTTTTTAAGATAAGTCAAGGTCACGAAATACGGTCGGTTTTAACGTCTCACCTTCGAGCTTTGACTATGCGAAGATTGTCAAGTGTTTTGAACATTTTTAACCTATGTATCACTAATTTCTAATCCATACAAAGGTGTATGTTCATGTTTTCTTTTGTTTCATGTGCAGAGACAGGTCTGAATCAAGAGCATCAGGTGTCGCGCCTCAATTAAGGTTTTGAGTCTCCCAAGCCAGAAGTACGATTGATTGTGGATTCTCGAAGACTGATTCATCAAGGCACACCGTTTCACCCTTAATTTTGCCCCTAATTTTTCAGTCGCACTTTCATATCATATTTTGTCACTTGGTCACAATCATTAGTAAATATCTTTATTCATCACATTTTTGCATCATTGGTCGTATTTAAGTTGATCAGAAAAAGTCAGTTTAAATCAAAGTTTGCATCGTCTTTCAGTTGTAAAATACCCGGCGTTTCACATCATTCATTTTTACCTGTTTACTATTTTCTTGCATTGCTCCAAGTTGTTTATATGTCGATAATAAAAATATTTCGGTTTTATAGACAAAGTGTTAAAAGCGGTTCGACACTGTGCGGAAAATTAGCAAGAAAATATTTCAAGTTTTCACCTTTTACCGATCATTTTATGAATCTGCGTTTCGCGTAGATTATGACGGTATGCTCGCTTTATTTTTTCGGTATAGTTTGAAGTCTCGTTTTTAACCGTAAACGTCTGTTTAGCCTGATATTTTTATTATTATCATTTTATTTTGATTTCGACTTTTTGAATATTTTTTATTTAATCTTTGTGACATGTAGTTTATTTTAATGTGTACATTTTATTTTTTTCGGATAAATTTTCGTCCGTTTTTTTATTGTTTTCGGTCATTTTAGCTCTTTATTTTTTATTCATAAAATATTCAAAAAAAATCATTTTAAATTGAGTTATTTTTTATAATTTCAGGTTTTTATTTTATTTTTGTCATTAAAGGACATTTTGGTCACAAAAATATATTAATTAGGCTTCGCTTAATTCTCATTGGTCGATAGCATGGTTTGTGGATTGATAGAGATCGAATTCATATTGAACGGCTTGGATTTATTTTGAAATCATAATATTCCTCTTCATTTTCTCTATTTAAAGCATATTTATCTCTTTGTTCAAGGGGGAGAAAACAAAAAACAAATAACAATACACAAGCATAAGCAGTAAACCCATCCACCAATTTCCATCGTAACTCATCTCCCTCTCTCTGTGCACAGCATCAAACCTCCCTCTCGATGTTCATCTTCAACACAAACAACATTAAAACCTCCGTTCCGCGATACCGTCGACTTCAATCTTCCTTCCACTAAACCACCACCGCAACTTGTCCGTCATCAATTCACCCTTCAATTCATCATTTTCCCACCTTCATCATCTCCAATCCGTTACCGTTACGACCCATTCCGCTAACCGACACAACCAGCAATTTCATCTTCAATCTTTCATTCAACTTAAATCACCCACCTTCTCCTCATACCCAACCTTCACACAAGCTCCCTCTGTTTGAAACCGTAACCCAGCGTGCCACCGTTCTCATCTTCATCACCGGTCTTCCTCTCTCAACCAAACACCATCCGTGAAGCTCATCACCTCCTTCAACAACTTCAGCAACTCACCTTCTTCCGCCGCCGCTAAACGCTTCGACTACATCGAGAAACTACTCGAACACCAGAAAACGTTACCGCAGTCCTGCAGCGAAGGCTTCGTCATTCGGATTATCACCTTGTATGGGAAGGCTGGTATGGTTCGTCACGCGCTTGATACTTTTTATGAAATGCATTGTTTTAAATGCCGTACAACTGTTAAATCTTTCAATGTTGCGCTTAATGTTTGGTTTCCAATCGGAGATTTCATGAGGTTGTTAAGTTTTTATATGAGGTTCCCTCTAGGTTTAATATTAAATTAGATGTTTATTCTGTTAACATTGCTGTTAAGGCCTTTTGTGAAGGTGACAAGTTTCAAGAGGCTTATTTGTTTATGATTGATTGTGAGAATAATAAAGTTGGGAAGCCGGATGCTGTTTTGGATGAATTGGCTAAGGAAGTTGGGGCGGATGCGGTTTATGCTCACAGAGAGGTTTCTCATGAGGAGGAGAAGATTGAGGGTGTGATGGAAAAGGAGAGTATTTCTCACATCACAAACATTATCATCAATCTTCCGTCAACAGTAGCAGCTTACGTACGCGAGCGGTATTCCACCAATCCTACAACAACTTTAACACCTTTGCTTTGATAATTTCGACGCTGTCCGGTAACTCCGCGATTCTATTATTGATTGTTTAAACTGTGATGTTATGCTGTTAATTCAATTTTGAGTGATATGTTTTAGGATTGTTTTGTTTTGATTAAATTAGTGTTGTTTATAATTATTGGATTTGTGACTTTAGTTTTAGCTTGCCAATTTGAATGATAACATGATGTTGATTATTAAATGTAATTGGAAACCATGTTGTTTGTTAAATTGAAGCTTGAAGTTTTATGGCGTGGCTTTATTTGAATGATAATTTATTATGGCATTACGATGCTACTTGAGTTTCTAATGGTGGTTTATCATGAGTTTTAATGCTAGACACTAATCTTGTTTGAATTAATTTAAGATGTCGTGTTATTTGAGTAGTGTTCAAGAGATGTCGATGGTTTCACCTTGATTCAAGTGTGTTAATTTGGAGTGAGCTAAACTTGATTGTGGTATTGATTTATTTTCCTTTTGTTACGAAACATGTTTGAATTGGAATTTTGGGACATAATTGGTAATGTACAGTTGCTTCTCGGTTTTTTTTCAACTTAATCGATTACGACTTAATTCTAAAATTGGTCCATACTTTGAAGTCAATTTTAAATTGCAACATAGGTGCATGCTATTTGTTTTCGGTTTTTTTAGTAAATTGAGATGTGTCTTGAGTTTGTTTTGAGACTTTAGGTTCGTGAAGTTTTTGGTTGCTGCCCGGATTTGGTTCGATTGATTTTAGTTCGCTTCGAGCTCAACTTTACATGTTTTGAATATTGGATTGAATAATAGGTTGAGTTTCTTTGGTGTTAGTTTTGTTTATGAGTTGAAATCAATTTACAAAGTTTGTTGGTTTGATGTTTGTGTTTGTACATAAGTTTAGAATCACTTGGAAATTGATTTTCATGAGCTTTTTTTATGCATAATTCGTTGTTGTCCAACTTTTGATAATGCTGATTTTTTTTTTGTGTTTACATTGAACAATATCATGAATTCTTGATTTTGGTTTGTGTAAATATTCATTTATTCATAGGCATCATACAAGTTCATTTTGATTTTTTATGCTTTGTGATTACTAACATAAATTCAAATCTTGTTACAATTTCGTTTCATTTTAATACCGCTTATGCTACTAACAAGTTCGCTTACTGTGAAGGTTTTCGAGAACAGTTTCAAGCACTCATTCTCATATAGCGCATCCACAATTCATATACCTCTCCCTTTTACCTTTTTATTACATTCTACTATTTTTATTTAATATTTGGTACTGTAAATATATACTTGTACATAATATTTTTTTTACTGTATATTTTACTCATTTTATTGGTAAATAATTTCCGTCTATGTAAATATTATTTTCATTGCATTCTGATTTTATTTTTTAATTCCAACTAACTTCTGAAAATTGTGCGGACGCACATAAGTTTCCCGTGTTGTTAGATTTTGTCGGTATATCTCTTATGATGCAGGGATTCTTATCTGACACCGTGAGTTTTATCCACCGCCTTTGCGCTTTATCTGATGCTTGGAGTATTATCTCACATTAGGTTTTTTTGATGATGATGTCGGCTTGTGATTTATTTTCACCTAAGGTTTGATATACTCTTAGCTTATTTATCCGTCTGTGGTTTTAAATCCAAGGGAAAGGTTTTGTTAACTTCATAAGTAATACGATCGTGCGAATACCCTCATTCATTTTTTCTTTTTACAATTTTGCTAAACTTAAGTTAATTTTTCCTAAAAGACTCAAATTTTAAAACTCACACCTTTTAAGTCAAAACTTTCGACATTAGCTCGTCGGATCTCCAAAATCTCTCCAACACCAATTTTTAGCCAAACGAACCATTTTAATCAAACAAACAATTTCTAACCAAAAAACAGATATTTCAAAAGGTTCCTGCGGAGTACCGCAGATGCATTGGGTGCTAATACCTTCCCATTGTATAACCAACCCCCGAACTCTCGATCTCTTTTCAAAACGCATTGTATTTTCATTACTTTTAAGTATTATTATACATTGCATATTTTAGGGTTTTATTTCGCTCTTTTCCCTTTTCCCTTGGAAATAATAAAGCGCGGTGGCGACTCTTGCTTTTGCGAGTCAAGTTAATTAATAGCTTGATCTCCGATTTTCACCACTACAGGTATTGTGCATTTAAGACTCTTTATTATCAACGGTATTATTCCAGACAAAGATCTTCTCAATTTGGAAAGAATGTTATTGGCATTGAAACAGAATTAACTGACTCCAACGTACCATTTTCCAATGCTATATAAACAAGTCAGTGAAGATTGAATTGGCTAATGCTCTACAACTCTCTACACGCCTAAAGCTATTCATCATCTTCCTCACTCTCAGTTTGCTAAACCTCTCAAATTCTTTACTCAATTATTTTAGCACTCTAGTTCTCATAAGCTTAACGTGTGTAGTATCACAGTTGTGATAAACAGTTTTTGTAGAAAACATTCAACACACTTAGATTTCATTTATCTGTAAGAAAGTATTTCCTTAAGAAACCGGTTTGTGGTTTGACTTAAGAAGGCTTTAGCAGTTGTTAAAGCAGTTGTAATATTCAGTTGAATATAGTGGATTAAGACCTCGTTGGAGAGAGGCGAAATCACCTTAACGGATGGACTGGAGTAGTTTGAGATCAAACGAACCAGGATAAAAATACCGTGTTGACTGCAATTGATTTCAAGTTTTTACAATTCAACCCCCCTTCTTGTGTTTTTCACTTCTTCAGTCTGCCCTAGCTGTTCGACTACGTTGTAGTCGCTTCTCTTTATAATTTTTAGAATTTCTTCCATCTCCTTTTGGGAAGCCTCAGGGATAGATACTGATTGCGCCTTCATCCAGACAGGCTCAACCAGAATGCCTTTGCCCCGAGTCTCGGTCGACTCGGTGGTAGGAGTGTCAGTAGGGGTAACCATTGGGATTGTAGTAGTAGTGGTGTCAACAGGAACAGAAACAGGGATAATCATAGGACCGGTAACAGTTTTCAGAGGAGCAATCTCTGGGGAGAATATTCTTCCACTTCAGGTTATCTTGTTGGTTCCCGCGATGTTGCTGATGCCGGGGTCAGCCTTCTCAAACATTGAGTCTTCGTCTTCCAGCCAATCCTGTTTGACACTGTGATAGTAGACGTCGCCCCCATAGTTCCATGGGACAGTTTTATATGATGAGTATGGGATTGGTCCATGCATAGTAATTATCAGCGGAGCCACTTTAGGAACTGATGTAATCCTAACATGTCTTTTGGTGGAGACCCTGGAAGGATTGGCGGAAATGGTTACTATTGAAACATCATTGTAAGAAACAGTTGGAATGGGAGTATTTTCAAACAAAATCTCTTTTTCATCCATTAGGCATTGAACACTTGATTTCAATAAATGACAGTCAGTTGGTAGGGATAAACAGAGGTGGCAGCTTTCGTCACAACCCGAAAATAAACCGGCCCTCAATAGATTCTTCTTGACAGTCAGGAGAGGAGTAACAAGTTCATCAACAACAGTAACAAATATATCATCTTAAACAGTGTTAACATCACGACCATGCTTGGGAATAGGAGCGGTGATAACATTTGGGATCTCAGGAGCATCGAATTCAATTTCTTTTGCTTCAAGAAGGTCTTGCACCTTGTTTTTCAAAGCCCAACAGTTGTTGGTATCATGGCCTGGACTTTCTGAATGGTAAGCATAACGAGCATTAGGATGATAGTGAGGAGAGGTTGTGTTAGGATTCTCCAGAGCTTCCTTCAAAGTTACCAAATTGGATCTCAACAAATGTGGCAGGACTTGAGATAGTGTCATATTAATTCGGGTAAATTGTCTTACCGGTCTTTCTACTCTAGGTTGATTGCTTCTTTGTTGAGTAGGTGCAGGCTTAGGGATCATGACAGCCCCTACCATTGGTTGGTGTTCAGTTTTATCTTGATTCCTTTGAGGATACACATCACCAACTTATTTCTTCCCAACAAATGGCTTTCTTACGACAACGGAGGATGCTTATTTTTTAATCTTCCCACTCTTAATCACAGCTTCCACTCTTTCTCCGGTCAAGATTAATTCAGTAAAGCCTGATGAGGAACTTCCAATTAAGTGATTAAAGAAAGGACCGAACAGGGTACCCAGAAACATGTCTACTAGTTCTCTTTCAGAATGGATAGGCTGGACTCTTCCTGCTAAGTCCCTCCATTTCTGAGTGTAGTCTTTGAAACCTTCACTTGAAACCATAGCCATACTCTGGAGTCGAATATGGGTGGGAGCAAGATCTGCATTGTATTGATATTGTTTATAGAAAGCAGTGGCAAGGTCTTCCCAATTATGAATATTGGCCCTTTCTAGTTGATAGAACCAATCAAGCTGAGTCCCAAATAGACTGTCTTGAAAGAAGTGGACCCATAAATCTCTGTCAGCAGTGTGAGGCTATATCTTCCTCACATAAGATCAGAGATGCATCTTGGGACACGAGACCCCATCGTATTTAGCAAACACTGGTGCCTTGAATTTTGGTGGAATAACAATCCCAGATACCAATCCCAACTCTTCAAAGTCCAGCCCAGGAACTTTCTGAATTTCCATTGGACTTAGACGTTCTTCCAGATGTTTGTATTTGTCGTCGGTCGGGGGATATTGCTCTTTAGAGTAATCTTCTTCTTCTTCTTCCTCTTCAGATTCTGGCTGGACAACCGCTCCCTTTCTTTTCACTTCTTGATTATCCTTTTCACCAGATGACATTGCAAAGTCTAGGGTCCGTCTGGCTTGTCCTTGGAACCTTCTTCCCATATTCAGAACTCCGGTTATTTTCTTTGCTTTCTTCTTCTTTTCTTCAATCAACAAAGTTTTCAAATCCTCTTGTCCTTTAGCTAGAGTCAAGAACATCTGTTGAAACTGAGCATTATGCTCCTAGAGGTCTTTTACTGTCTGCTCGAGATCCATCTTATTGAAATAAACAGTAGAAAGATGAGAAGACTTGTTGTAAGAAACCTGCTTATGTTATGATGAAT